AATGGTCTACTCGTTTCAGGTAATCTGACTTTCAATGTATTTTATGCTGTTAAGCTGTTTATTTTCCATATTATTTGCTATATGTAACATTAAAGTCTACTAAGCAACCTTGATGTAGTTTTATTCAACTCGTCTGCTATTTACTTCACATATTATATAAGCATATAAATATAATGCCAATAATGGTAGGTGGATACTCAAATGGTTCTCCAGCCCATGTGCACCAATCTGAAGGGGATTCTTCGAATACAACGGTTTGTTGCTTACATATCTTTCTCTAGACTCTTTGCCTTTGTGTTTATTTTGTTCTAATTGGGCTGATAATTTACCCTTGTAGATTTTTGTTGGAGGCCTCGACGAAAATGTTAGTGATGAAGATCTTAGACAGCCTTTCATGCAATACGGAGAAATAGTGTCTGTTAAAATACCACTTCGGAAAGGATGTGGATTTGTTCAATATGCGCACAGGTGTTCTTTCTTTAACCAACTATTTGCTGAATTCTTTATGTTTTTTTTGGCTAAAGCTATATCTAAGTTGAAGCGGCCCCATCATATTTGGCAGACATGATGCTGAGGAAGCATTACAGAAGTTGAAAGGTCTAGTAATTGGCAAACAGACTGTGCGCCTTTCTTGGGGTCGAAATCCAGTGCACAGGCCGGTAATGCCTTCTTTACTATTCTCCCCTACAAAAGTATTTCACCCTAAACTCTCATTTACATTAAAAAGTCCATCAAAAAGTATGCCCCTGCTGTCATTAATTTTGAACGTGTTGTGTTTAGAACACACGGAAGTGAGACAAGGGACTTTCCAACAAGGATTGGCCTACACTAGGTTTGAGCCCATATTTGTTGAGCCTAGTTGTAGATGTTTTAACTGAGCCCATGGGAGAAGAGATTCCCAACTGAAGCTCGTCACTTCGCTGATGATATAGTCCTTTTAGCTCAATCCATGGAGGATGTCAACTCTACGCTTGAGCTTTGGAGTTGAAGGATTTTGAGATGGATGTGCGTCCATACAAGAAAAGAGAAGATTCGTAGTGTTTTGATCTGCAAAGGGGTTGGAGTGGATCTAATTGAATGGAGTCCCCACAAAAGAGGTCGAGAACAACCCAAAAGAACGCCCACGGAGCTCACACAACTTGTTCTTTTACTTAATAATACTCCTATATCATAAGATTCTGTGTTCAGTAGTGTGATTTAAGGCTCAGTTGTTGCATACTAAAAATCACCTTAGTGTATTTCTAATTTACATATGCCTTTAAGCTTGGAGTCCAAATTATGGATAACTGACTCTGGACTTTTAATTTTCTTTGCAGTTGAGATCTGACTTCCTGAACCAGTGGGGAGGCGGTGGCGCATACTATGGTGGGCATTTTTATGATGGTTACGGTTATCCTTTCTCTCCTCGCCATACCCCTCCACCGAGCATGTATGCACCTCCGGGAGGCTATGGGGCGTACCCTATGTACGGGACCCACCACCAACAACAAGTAAGCTAGATAGGTTGACGACGGTCTTCCCAAGAGAACTCTCCCAGATAAGATTGGCAATGCCCATGTTGTGGCCATAATACATACATATATATATACACACATATATATATATATGTTTTGTTGATTCGAGGTAAATTGGGCATGTAGTAGAATTTCTTAGCTGACCCTCCAAACCAGGAGTGGCATTGAATTTTGAGTTAAATGAGGTAGTTCTTCTTTAGGAATTGATTCTATTAGGAGTGAGATTTGATTACATAAGTTTGGAACTCTGGACCAGACATGGAACTTTTTTTTGTTTTTAATTTATTGGAATAAATAGTGTGCTTGCAATATTATTGTGTGGTTCCTCATCTTGTAACTCTTTACCAAAATGGTGCTCCTATGTGATCAACTCTATCCTCACGCAATGTGGTTGAAAAATAATTTGTTTCAATTAGGCCGTGTGGTACGCGGTACGCCCACGGGAAGGGGCAACGGGAAGACGGGAAGCAGTGCGGGAACACTGCCCTGATAGTGCCCTCCCCCTCCGGCGGGATGGGGAGGGTTCCCCCGTTTTTCCTGTTGCCAAATGTCCGGATTTTAATTTTTTGTAAAAAGCTAATCGTTGGAGAATTGAAAAAATTTTAAAAAATTTCAAAATTTTTACAATTTGAACACAACACTCAACTCATATGATTTCAATTATTTTATAACTCTAATGATTTTAGTTTATTGGTTCAATTATTTTAGTTCAAAATTTTCACTATTTCAAAATATTCAATTACTTTATAATTTTAATGTTTTTAGTTTATTTATTTGAATTAAAATAAGTATTAAAAAATAATATTAAAATTGTAGGGAAAAAAGGAAGCATTTCCATGGAAGGGGAAATGAAAGGGAAGGGAAAGTAAAAATTGAGTTTATGAGATTACGATGAATCCCTTAGTTCAAAATTATGAGATTTTTTGTTTATTTGTATGTTTATGAGGGTGTTTGGAGTGTGTTTGAAAAGGGCTTTTGAGCTTCGACTTCATTTAAACATAATTTTAAGTGTTTTTTCATTCAATTTTAGATTATAGATTATAGTTTCAGAAGTGTAAAATATGCTCTAAAAGTGATTCTCACTGAATCTCGGAATATTTGTTTTCTACTTCTAATTTAGCACATCTGTTTTTTTCACCACTCACTGCATTTACAAACATGAAACACCCTATACATTTTTTATTTGTATATTAATCTTTAAATGAAATAAAATTAAAAAAAACTTAAAATTCTGTGTCGTTTCTTGCAATGTGGGGACATTTTAGGACAAAAGAGTAATTTTCAACCACTTCGTTTCGTTTTCCATGAACATTTTGGAAAGTAATTTTAAAAGGAGTATATTTCAGGAGTGGGTGACTATGAAGAACAAATGGTGGCTACATGCCAAAACTGCCCACATTGATATATATATATATATATATATATATATATATATATATATATATATATATATATATATATATATATATATATATATGGACAATAGTATGTGTATGATAATTATTTTCTATGTATGAATAAACCATCTTTGATCATCATCCTTGGGGCATTTGTCAAATGGATAATGAAATTAGGTAAACAACGTGGTTAAAGTTTGAGAATATGAATAATAAATATACAGTTTAATTTGAGAGAGTGGAAACATTTTAATTTATCATGTATGCTTATATGGAGTACATACGTCATGTTATCTTCACTTGATCTGAATAGTTCTGGTTAAATTGGAATAAGTTCTAATCTAATATAATCTGATATCGATGAAATTATATTTAAAGTTAATTCTAATCATATCTGATCTAATATGATCTTATCCCTATATGGAGTACACTCTTACTTTGCAAAATTTCAAAATTTATTTATTTTTAATTTTTTATAGAAATAAAATAATTATTTGAAATATAAAAATTCTACGTTAAAATTTTTTTACAAAATAAGAAGTGACAATAGAATCGATTTTAGACTGTAAGTACACTGTAGAGTATTAACGAGTTTAACGAGTTAATACTCATTTTGTTACTCTATAAGTACACTCATGAGTCAATTACTCATTTTTAGTCTAGTTTCTTCTAGTTCTTTTCAATTTTTCCCGTTTTTTTATAATTTCTTTTAGTTCTTTCCAGTTTTTTCCAATTTCTTCCAACATCTATTTTCTTCCCGTCCTAAAAAACATGTTCTTAGTCTACCGTATGATACGTCGAGTCAAAATATTCCATATAGCAAAACAAGTTGGATCAATATAGTTTCTCTACGAGAGTCTATCTTAACAATGTTGAAATGTTGAGTTGACACATTAATTGACATAATTTGTTAAGAGTAATTATATTCATCACGTAAGAGGTGTGACACTATTTTATTTTAAGAGATCATTGAATATACATAAGAATATACTACTCCCTCCGTCCCAATTTAAATCGCCTGTTTTGACTTTGGGCATATTTAAAGAAAATAAAAAATAGAATTGATTTTCCAAAATTGTCATTACTTTTTGGGAGAGGTGATGATGAATGAGAAGATAAGGTGAAGAAGAGTGACTTATTTTAGGGGTAGTTTAGGTATTTTATTTTTAAAAGTTTACAAAAACAACTAACAGGCAACTTATTTTGGGACGGAGAAAAAAGGCAGGCAATTTAATATGAGACAGAGGGAGTAACAATTTTACAAAAAACTATTTGGGGTGACATGAGTTTTCTCATTAGAACTCGAAGGTCTTGATGTTTTAAAAAACTATCTGTCCCGGAGTTCTTTCGTAAAGAGTACGAGGATATATTTCAATACTAATAATTATATTTTGACGAATAATTTGTTAGGATAAGTCATAGTTGCGTGAGATGTAACTGAGTTGTCGTTGTTTCTTGTCGTGTATTTGTTATTTTTCCATATTGGCGTGATCTTTTTGTCTTCTGCTATGACCATCATTTCATTTTTTAAATTTTTTATTTTCTTTTTCTCTATTTACAAAATAAAACTGACTAAAAAATGAATATTTTCTATGTAATCCTTTTTCGTTTAATTTCTTTTTCATTTTTTTTTGGAGTGTTCAAATTTTCTTTTTTGTTTCTTATTTTAATAAATTTTTAATAAATGTTCAATTATACCCTCACTTTTGATTTATAATATTCACTTTATTCCGTTCGTCCTAAATGAAAACGGAAAAAGAAATTTTTGGCGAGGTGAGTAATAAACTACTCCCTCCGTCCCTCATAGATCTTCTCAATAGCCCTTTTTCTTTGTCCACAATAGATTTTCTCATTTCATTTTTTAACAATTAAAATACCACAACTATCCACACTTACTTTATTTATTACACCTCACCCATCTCATTTAATACACTCCACCCATTTTTCATTAAGGGTATTATGGTAAACTTTCACCTTTTTTCAACTCTCCTTAAAAACCACCAAAAGTCAAAATGAGAAGATCTTAGGGGGACGGAGGAAGTATTAAACATTGTCAAATAACGTGCCAATATTTTGTTAATGTCACTAACATAAATTTGAATAGAAAAAAGGGATGAAAATTATAAGGGGAGTACATAAATAAAAAACTATGCACTTCGGGTACCGGTATTTGACAATGGCTATGCCTCGCCTTTCTCTATCATTTCCCTGTCCTCTTCCACCTCCTCCGTCATCCTCCACCGCTCACCTGCGGCTTCACCGGACCACAATTTTGCGCAGCCGCATCAAAATAGAATCTTCCGGCGAGGGTTCATGTATCGCGTCACCCAAGCAGCCCAAAGTTGTCGTCACCAGAGAGCGCGGCAAGAACGGCAAGCTCATCAAAGCTCTGGTACTATCTCTCTCGCTCTCTCCACGTGCTCCTTTGGCCCTATACGCATTCTACTTTCTGATTTTGGAAAATCTATTGGTGAAGCCCTGCTTGTCAAGTGAAAGAGTCCTCTTTTAGGTTTATGTTTTTTTTTTTAGATTTCCAGAAATGGAATTGAGTGTGTGCTTTGCTCGTAGCTTACTGATTTATATAATGATGAAGCATCACAATAGGGATTTGATCAAATGTATGAACAAATACCCTTGACAATCCAGGTGGATTATGTCTATGAACTATTCTTTTCTAAATTGAGTAATGTATCAATAATGCACTATTCATTATTTTCTGCAGGCAATGCACGGGATCGATTGTCTAGAGCTTCCACTCATTCAACACACACACCTTTCTGATTTGGATTTGCTTCCTTCCATGTTGTGTCGTAAGTGTTTCTTGTTTTTCATGTCAAAAATGTCAGATAGTATTTAGATATTTGCAGGCTAGTGTTCTTTCAATTCTTTACTTTCCTCTTCGTAGGTTTTTACCTCATACCTCTTAGAGTTTTTTTTTTTAAAAAAAATACCTCCTAGAGATTTAATCTGCCTTTCCCCCCTGAAATGTCGACTCTGTTGTTCTATGGGTGGCTTTATTTGTTTTAGGGGTTCTCTTTGTTTGTAATAGTGTTTCATCTATTGTGTTTCAAGACCAAGTTTGTGGTCCTTAAAATGTGTATTTTTTCTGTACTTGGCACTTTAAAAGGGCAGCACGGTAAATAAAGTGCCCCACTTAACGAGATGCAGACAAGTCTTACCTTGCATCTTCTAGAAAAGCTATTTTTAAGACTCGAACCTGTGACGTCGAAGTCACACCACAACACTTCAGTTGGTGTGCCAAGTCTCCCATGTTAGATTTAGACATCCCTTGCTTCTTACTTTCTATGAATTTTTGGGAAGTAAATGAAGCAGTGCATCACGGGTCCAACGGAAGCAACCTCTTTGCTTATTACAAGGATAAGACTGCACACATCTTGACCCTATGGACCCCAACGGAATTGGAATTATACTGAGTCATTGTCGTTTTGTTGTTAGTGCTTTATGTTTCTAAGTCCTTATGATTTTCATTGGGTATCTGCATGTAATAAGTGTTTATGTCAGCATTTAACATCACTATCACAACATTGTTATCTTACATACCTAAAAGCATATTAGTTTATTAAAAGTTTGATATTTTTTAAAGAAGCAAACTATATTTTTGCTCAAACAGGAGGAAATTCAAGGGCTTTGCCAAAACTCCAACTGTACCAAATTACAATCTTAACAATTTGATCTCCCAGATTCCATGCTTAACTTATTTTCCCATCTATGTTTCAGTCTCAGTTCTTTTCCTGTTCTCCAACTTCATGTACGCTGAGATCCTCACATCTCATATTGAATTCACTAATGTTGATTGTAAAATTAATCTGATACCAGTTTTCCCTCTCCGCTCACAGAAATGTAACTCCTAGGAACTATATTTTCCTTTCCTTCTTGATGTAGTACAGCCATGGCCTCATGGCCCGTGGAGTCTTTTCTCATATTTCTTGTCCTGACAGAAAACAACTTTGACTGGATTGTCATAACTTCACCAGAGGCTGGTCTAGTTTTCCTCGATGCTTGGAAGTAAGGCCCAAATGTTTTAATGAATCTAAATTAATGCTTGGTTCAACCATTTTCCTATTTGGTTGAAAACGTCATTTTATATGGATAGGGTGTAGTATTTTTCTTTTTGAGCATCTCTGTGCAAATAGTGCTATTATCATAAATAGTTCTAAGTTGAACCTCTTGGAAGTTTGAGGGATGAAAAATTGTAGAAATTTGAAGGACATGACATTCAGTTATTTCACGATAAAAGCAATAGACCTAGGATTCTTGTCTTCTTGACTTCTGAATTGAAAGCAATGATGATGATATCTACATATTCAAAGGAAGAATGTGGTTAGGTATCACCATATAATTCTTAGATAATTAGAAGGGAAAATTTTTTACTCAAAAAATGTCCATTCATAGTGCTTCTGCCTGTTTTTTATCCTTAAATATTTACTAAGTGACATGACAATCCTTTTTCCTGAGATCCCTAGGATTTATTCTTAAATTTCACATAGGGTTGCTGGGACCCCAAATGTCAGAATTGCAGTTGTCGGGGCGGGTACAGCTAGCATATTTGATAAAGTTAGTTGGCCATCAAAGCAGTGTCTTGATGTTGCATTTGCACCATCCAAAGGTATGGGTTAAGATCCTTTCTCCCTCTTTTAGCTTTATCAAAGAATATAGTGTGCTGACTCTGCCCTGTGGACTGTGGTCCTATCAAGAGATTATACTGTGAAATAAACTTGTAAAAAAAGGACTAGTTCAGTATGACTGACAGTTTTTGGTTTTTATGATTTTCAAGATCTATGATATAAGTAGTACAATGGACTTGGAAAAAGTCATATTTAAACCAATCATGTTGATTTTGAAAACTGTTAACAAAAATACTGGAAACAACTTTTTCTAGTTTTCATATTCTTGTTTTTACGTTTCTACAAAGTCCAAAGCACAGAGCAGAAAACAATATCCAATGAGCCCTAAAGAGCTTTGTACTGTTTGTTTTATGGAGTATTTGCTTATTGACACTAAAATTGCTATTATTTTTTCATTTTTTCAGCAACTGGTAAGTTCCTAGCTTTAGAGCTTCCTAAGCATGGGAACAAAAGATGTACTGTTCTATATCCTGCTTCAGCTAAAGCCAGTGGTGAGATTGGTATGTAAAATATATTACTCTGTGGATAAGTTTATTTTGCCATTTCTTGTTTCTCTCATCGTCATTTTCTACTATTCTGCGTTTCTCTAAGAAAACAAGGACGTAAATACCAGAGAGCTAGATTACCTTTCTCATCTCTTCTCATTTATATAGATAAACAGAAGGAATGAAGGAAGTGACAAGTTGTGTGTGTGTGTGTGTGTTTTGTTTGTTTAATGGGGGTCCCTTGGTGCCTTTCCTCTGTCGATGCTGTTATAAGTTGCAGCTTTAGGGGACTAGCGGTGACTGGTTGTGCTTTTTTATGGGGTGACAGAGATTCTAAATCATGTTACATAATAAACTGAAATAAATTGAGATCACTATGTAATTTATTTTTTCCCAGAAGAAGGCCTTTCAAAGCGCGGATTTGCGGTGACAAGGCTGAATACATACAATACGGTATCCTGTTATTCTCTGTCGTTAATTTCTGAAGCACATTCATTTTTTAGTACATGTAACTCACTCCCTAGCTCCTCCAAAATACATTTTTGGTACTAAAAGTTGTTTCGGGAAAAGTACAAGAAGCTAATCTATCCATCCCACTGATATCTCTTGGTCCCTTGCAGGTGCCAGTCCAACATGTTGATAAGGACCTTCTCAGAGTAGCACTGTTTACCCCTGTTGTTGCTGTAGCATCACCTTCTGCCATTCAGTAAGTCACCACTTTCATTACAATAATCTCATCAAACACTCTTTCTGATTCACTTGTTGGTCATAACCGGAAGATTTCATCTCCCTGTAGTTGTTTGATGTATCCCTTACGAATGAATGGCTTCAGTGACATATTTTTCTTTAGTAAACTGAATATTATCATGTATTTCCACAATGGAACAGTGCATGGGCAAATCTTATTCCACCAACGGAAAAGCGAGGAAATGCTATAGCATGCATAGGTGAAACAACTGCCTTGGCTGCCAAAAAACTTGGACTGAGAAATGTCTACTTTCCCAAAAATCCTGGTCTTGATGGGTAAGCTGTTGCTCGTAACCTTTTCAATGACGAATACACACACACACACACACACACACACACGGAGTATATATGATCTTCAACGTGTTTATTATGCTTTAGGCCTCATTTAATTGATTTGGCGACCCGAATTTGAATAATTGGGATTTGAATGAAATCAATGAATTAGATTTAGATACAATTATACTCGGAAATAAGGGGCTAATTCCCTGGAATTGAGCAAAACCCCATGGTCCAGTGGAGACATGTGATACCTCCCAATTGAGAAGTTGAGAATTCCCAAGAATTCATTTCCAAATGTAGATATATGACACGATTCCCTCCCGGGAATTATGATTTCATATCCAAATGAGGTCTATTAGTCTAAATGACATTCTCTCAAGCTATATTAAATTATTAACTTTTCCGAAATAGTGCGAGCAAGGAAGATATTCATTGTTCACTTACTAACCAATTTGCATCTAATTTATACATTCTATGAATGTCCAGGTGGGTTGATAGCATTCTCCAGGCCTTGGGAGTCCTCGAGGGAGTCCAAAATTTATAAGAATTGAATGTTGTATCTTCTTTGTTTTCCTAGCTAGGTAACTTTATGTCCCCCGAATTTACCATTAAATTCCCAGTGCAACTCTAGCAGCACTTCCCAGTTATGCGGTTCAAGAACGTCCGAAGTTTTAATTCCCCACACGTTTGATCTTTCCTTGAATTCAAGCGATTTTTTTTCATATTGCAGATTTTTCCCCCCAACGGAGGTAATATAAAGGATCTGCTGGGATTATGTTTCTAGAGATCTTCAGAGGTTGCGAATGCATGTTTCGCGGCAGGTGTTTCTGGTGCGCGGAGTGTAGATATGTTCTTGGAGTGGCAAGTATTGCAGGCTTGACCATGTACGTGTATAGTATTATTGTCACACTTTTTAGCTTCCAAAATAGTTGGCATTGATTTCCCTTCTTAGTTGACATAAGATTTGTTTATTTATGAAACTGGTTTTCTTGAAAACATAATCCCCAAAAAGGAAATGCTTTTTAAGGAAAGATCTTAAATATGCTAGCTGGGGATCTTCCTCATTTTCGACGTTCCATTGGTTCTGAATTTCATCCTCTTCGTCTTCGTTTTTTACTTTTCTGTTTATTGTTACTATATCTAGGAGTGTAAACGGATACTAAACAGATTGGATGTGACATTGCTATGTTTACATTAGTTTAATTTTATTGAATGTCATATTCAGATACCGATCTTCACAAATGGTCAAAATCAACACCCGTATTTGCATCCGATTTTAATTTTTGAAAGTCAAATTGAATTGAATACAGATATTAGTAGTTTCAAATGGATACAAATATTTTTCATATAAACGAATACGAAACTGATCAGTTATCGAATTTTTGGTCCCCCTAAACACAACCACAATCATGCATCACCCAAACCACAATGTCCAATTGTCCATGCCCAACCAATACCCATTGCATTTGATGGATCTTCAAGAGAATTGACACAATAACCAAAGCAGCCTCTAATTTGTTATGAAATACTCCATCCATCCGGTGTTCCACGACCACAAGTGACCCAGACACGAAGATTAAGAAAAATAAAATTGTGTGGTTGAAATTGGTAGAAATGATAGAATTGATGTGTTATGGGACAGAGACAAAAGGTATTGTTAAATTTTATTACGGAACGGAGGGAGTATAATTAATTATAATGATAAGGGGGCGGTTCATGTGACATTGAGCATCAATGTAATAGGATGACCCAGATCTCCTATGATGTTTTGTTGGAAAAAATGACGATTCTTATCTCATTCTTTCGTCGATTGGCTATAGTGATCATTATAGTCAATTGACAAAGAGAGGTGGGAGGGGGTTAGGAGAACACCAATTGTTGAAACGGAACACCGTATGAAGCCCGAATCATCGTATGACATTGATGTTTAATGTCACATAAACCCGGGCGGTAAGAGTTGATAGAAATAAGAGTTTGAAACTTGAAAGCAATGTTAACGGCCATTATAGTTTCACACGAAATAATTTATAGTACCAAGCAAATTGAATTGGTTCAGGTCTGTTCCCATTGCTAAACTTGATAAGTTTTCAATTTCTTTCCTATTTCTACCCCACCAAACATACCACTAGTGGCTGGGGGGCGACCATATAGTAAAAGTAAGGCCCAAGACTTATTATACTCACATGTGACATGTCCCATTTTCATCTTTTCATTTTCACTATGTTACTTAAAAGAGAAAACAAAAAAAAAGAAAAAAATCAAATGATTTTCCTTCCATTTTGGTGAAGAAAAATAGGAAAAGATCTTTCTTTTCTTTTTTTTTTCTTTCAAATTCCACGAATCAAAGTAGTGTTTATGTTCCTAATTTTATGAAAGAAATTAGTACGTTTCATGATTACTAAACAGTTCTCAAGAATCTCAACCGAACAAGTTTACTTAAAAGTCCGTGTAAAGTCAAAATCAAAACATTTAGAGACTTGTCCCCTTCAACAATCACTATTATTGGCTCAACTTTTAGAATGAGAAAAGTCTTAATGCACACACTCTCTCCCTTTCTTTTTTAAAGGATCATTGTGACTTTCTTGATACATTTAAAAATAAATGAATACTTTCATCCAACTTCAGATGTATCACAAAAGTCATAATGGCCGGTAAAAAGTTATTAACATATAAACATAATGACCTTGTTTGTATGTGAACATAATAAAAATAATAACCTCAGCTTGTTGTATAGCTAACTAAGTCGAGGGGGGAAGTTTCCCTTGAAGAAAAGATGTGACCATAGTGAACGCGCGCTCCGGTTGGTAGATGGAAGGCGCATGTCCAGCGTTTCGTATTGTGACGAGAGTCAACCCCTTGTACTCTTCCACATATCCTCCAACCTCCTGCAAATCAAACGATCAAGCTTGTGACTTTTAGTCTCTGGAAAGGTTTTATACTCTAACACTAATCTTTAAGCAGTGAGCCATATCTATATGTTGGTTGGTGTTTTTAATTATATTTCGGCTAATAATGTGGAAAACATGGCTGCAAAAACATTTGTTAGTACCTGTCCACCCTTAGACAACCATGGACGCCAAGGAGTCACCACGGGAAGTTTCATGCTGTTTATCACAAGCCTTGTTGATGTCACTGATATGAGTGCATCTGCATCTCCGCTGCATTTTTTTTACAATTCGCGTTGAGATTTGAAGTTTCATGGCAAATCTGGTTTTCGTTGTGCATTTGTGGTTTGTGGGTGTTTGAACTTAATTGATCACCTGTAAAGCCATATGTTTAGTTTCTTTGCAATGAGCTGTTTGAGTAAGGGCACCATTGTTCTTGGAGCATCCTTCCAGTTCTTCAGCCCAACTTTTGTGCTGCACACAGTTTCCAAATGTTTCTGTCATTTTTCATTACATAGCATTTCTGCTGTGTTGGAACAATTCAAGAACTGTTTGTTTAAGGATCCTGAGGGTTGAGAGTGGAGTTACCTGCAAGTTGTCCAATTGGTCCTGACAGCATGAAAGGCTTTCTGCACATTCTTTCGGTTGAGGTACGCTTGCACATATAAGCCCGCGCATTCATCGTACACCTTTCGTCATGATTTCAAACATCACACATTCGTTTAGTTTCAGCTCAACGAGATCATACTTTGTTAGAGAATATATATATAAAACTTTTCTTAACATGGTTTCTTAACATGACATCAAAGCCTTGCTGGCCTAGAGAGATCAGGAGTTCGAACCTCATTGCCACCAAGTTTAACATATCGTTTATTGGTAGAATGAATTACTCACCGAACCAGGAGGTTTAGGTTTGGTTGCATTTGGATTGCAGTAAGAGTTGTGAATGTAAACTATGGACACGGGGCCTCCCTCCAAAAGCGATAGCAATGTGTACTTTGAGCACGTTGCAGGATAGTTGCTACGAGCAAAGTCACAATACTTGTTGATTCCGGCATGAGTCTCATCTGAGATCATTGCGTGTGCCCAAAGATACTCCATGTTTCCTTTTAAGGCTAAGTCATTATCCAGTAAACCATTCCCAATCTAGACCCCAAAAAAACTCATTACAATCAACTACAATGCTCAATTTCGCTCAAGAAAGAGTTGTTTTTTGTATATATATAAAACTCACAGCAATGCCTTTGAGGTTGATGGGTGTGTGTTTGGAGATGGTGTTATGGGCAAGAATGGTGTAAGCCAGCTGAGGCACGAAATGCCCGCCGAAGCTCTCTCCCACAATGTAGAAATCTCGAGTCTTGTAGTGCGGGAATCTTTGGAGCCAGTTGACTAGGAAGGTGTGCGCGTCCTTGGCTGTGCCCTTGTCGCCCGTGTTGTTGTAGTCCGAGGTGGCGTTGGAATAGGAATACCCCACGCCAGCTGGCGAATCGAGGAACAATATATTTGCCACTGTCATTTCACACACAAACACAAAAAAACCTTAGCACATTTCATTTTTTTTGTGATTGTTGTTGTTTTAGATATATACTCCCTCCGTCCCGTTTTAAATCGCCCGTTTTGACTTTTGGGCATATTTAAGGAAAATTAAAAATAGAGTTGATTTTCTGAAATTGTCAATACTTTTTAGGAAGGATGATGATGAAAGAGAATATAATGTGGAGAAGATTGACTTATTTTAGAGGTAGTTTAGGTATTTTATTTTTAAAAGTTTACGAAAACAACTAACAAGCAACTTATTTTGGGACGGAGAAAAAAGGCAAACATGCAATTTAAAATAGGACGGAGGGAGTACATGTTTCTTCTTACAACAACTACAACGACCCAGTAGAATAACACCGCGAGAGTAAGGTCTGGGGAGGGTGGGTGCTGACCTTTGTTCCAAGCATACTCATTTTTGTAGAGTGTTTTCCCATCACTCTTAACTTTGAAAGGCCCAACTTCCAAAAGGGCTCCATTTCCCAAGGATGAGCATCCAGGCCCTACATATATAACCGCTTATGAGACTCGAACTCGTGACCTCTAAATCAGTTTCAGATGCCATATCAAAGAATCAATTCAACCGAAATAGATTTAGTCCACAAGAGTTTTACAAAAACAACAACAAAAATAATTATAACAACAACAACAACAACAAGTCAACAACAATGATGATGATGATGATGATGATGATGATGATGATGATAATAATAATAATAATAATAATAATAATAATAATAATAATAATAATAATAATAATACCTCCGGTAAGCCACAAAATGAGGGGTTTGGAAGAAGAGTTGTGGGGAGATTCAACAAAGTAATAAAACAGAGACCGTCCGGCTTTGGGATCCACCGTGACGTAGCCGGAGTACTGGTCAAAGTCCACGCCGGGAGGTTGATCCGGCAGGGAGACAATCTTGTCGGCCTTCCTCAATCTCTCTTGCTGCCCAACATATACTGAAGAAGAAGAAGAAGAAGAAGAAGAAGAAAGAAAATCTCTGGCGACGTCTTCTTGGTGTAGCTCCGGCCACTCTTCCGAGAGGGGAAGGTTAATATTATTATTACTATTTGGTGAGATGAAATTGGAGGTGATGAAGCTATGGAGGCGCTGAGCTTGACCAGTAGTAGTGGCACGGCAGGGTATAATGGGAAAAACCCATTGTTGCAGGGAGATAAGAAGAAAAAGAAGCAGGGAGGAATTAAGACATATCCCTACCAAATTCATCTTCAATTATTTTATTATTTGTTTGACTAGTGGTAAGTATCCTATAGATTGGATTAGAGCCACTCCCTATATATATATATATATATATATATATATATATATATATATATATATATATATATATATATATATATATATTTTGGTTCAGGTGAGAATGCAATCTAATGAAAGAAATAAGAATGAATCTGGTTCATTAGATTGGGAGATCTAAGGGTTAGAATTGCATCAAAATTAGGTGCACCAAGATGGTTTGAAAATGCATCATGTCGAAATGCACCATAATCCTTTGAAAATGCACTATCTCAAAATTTGAGTGCAGAATGCAATCTGAGCCGCACGATGCATCAGATCCAAAGGCCAGATTTTATTCTTATTTCTTTCACCAAGGTGCATTCTCACTTGAACCAGCCCCTATATATATATATATATATATATATATATATATATATATATATATATATATATATATATAGACACACACACTCCTTCCGTCCTATAATGATCTTTCCAGAACACTATTCCAACTTCACGGGAATTTATATTTATTTGTGTTTTTTCATAGATAAAATAAAATATTCTTGTCACCACTTGTTTTGTTGAACTTTTGATGTAGTTTTTAAATGTGTATGTTTTATTTTTTATTTCTATACCAATATTTAAATAAAATAGATTGAAAAAACTTGGGATTTTTCTTCGTTTTGCGAACCGGAAAGATCATTATAGGACGGAGGGAGTATACACACACACACACACACACACACCTTGGTACAAATGACATTGAGAACCAAAGTCATGGGATGACCCAGGGGTGCTCCGATGCCCCGTTCGTAAAATTGACGGTTCCTATCCCCTCGGTAAACCCCCCACCACGCCCCGACCCGAACGCGGCCCCCCACCCCCTTCAATTGCACCCCCAAGTTGATTTTGACTTTGGGTGGGGGGTTTAGGGGGTAGGGTTAGGGGGCTAGGAACCGTCGTTTTTACAAATGGAACACCGTAGGTACCCCAAACGAACTGGTGTAAGCAAATGACACCAGTAGCACTGGTGTCATTTTAGACTTACCATATATATATATATATATATATATATATATATATATATATATATATATATATATATATATATATATATATATAATCTTATGTTATTACTCTGTATTAAATAAGAAAAAAATTAAAAAAACAATATCAAGATTATATATTTTTAAGAAGTGTATTCTTTCGTTTTTAAAAGCTTTATGGGACAGAAAAAATGATTTTTATTAAAAATAATAATTAAATAAGCAAGAACTTCATTTTTTGGACGATGGAATAAGAAATATAGTGAACTTAAAGAGTAGAAGGAATATAATAAAACGGGAGTATAAGAGATCCTTTTGTGCTTTTATTAGAATAAAAGCAAAGAGGAAAGAAAGAAAAAGAGCATTGTTTAATGTGTATTGTACAAAAGAAAGATAAAAAGAAAGGAAAGCGAGTCGGGTTCGAATCGTATTTCGTTATATTTGAATTCGTCCTAATTATCGTGCGTACGAGACCCGACTTTGGAATAGAAAAAATAATACTCCTTTGTCTGTGCACCATACAAGTTACTGTTTAATTATTAATCAATGATGTCGAGACGGACCGGTTTCAAGCTTCAATTTGTCGGGTTTGAATATGTCAAGGATGAGTTTTCTAAGGTCATGTCATAAGACTCATTTTTTTTTGAAGGCATGTAATAAGACTCATATTTAGATGAAAGTGCTATTCTCAAATAAAAGTTAACAAAATTTAAAGTTGCAAATGATGAAAATGGGAAATGCCTTAGGTAGGAGGCTGACTTGGAGGGTTTACCAGGGTGATAGAGGGAAGATGGTCTATCAAAGTTTTAATTACAACTTCATAATATGATATCAAATTCTAATAGAAAAGAGTTGGGACAATTAAAATATAGTCAATACTCATTTTAGCCCTGCAAGAGTCTGATTGAATCAAATCAATTCTTGTATTTAGAAATTGTGAATCAAATTAGTCTTTTATGCGAAATTTATCTTTTAAAATTGTAAAATTTGCACTAAATAGGACTAAAACATAATGTCTTTCCCAATGTAGGACTTAAACTTTTTTATTCCCTAAATAGGACTTAATAATGACCTAGTGGGAAAAATAATGTCCAGTAATGATGGACATTTACTTGAATAATGACTACATGATAATGACCAAAAGTCCTACATTGGGAAATAAAAACATATGGTCCTATATTGGGAAAGTCATTATGTTTTAGTCCTATTTAGGTAAATTTCTCAATTGTAAAATTCTAAGTTGGCACGTTAATTGACACAAACACTAATACACAGGGCCATTGCACTTGTGTCAATTAATTTTAGAAGATAAATTTCGTTCGAAAAACTAACCTGATTCACATTTTTGAGTTAACGAACTTACATTGAAGATAATTTTAATAAAACATTATAAAGTGAAATAGACAATTTAAGTTGAGACGAGTATTCTTGTTTATTGTGCAACTGTGTAGAGAGTCATACGGAGTGAATGATACTCCATTGACAAAATTAGTAAGACAAAAACATACGGAGTTTACTCGTAAAATTTATGGGATTCTTTTGACCAAAGCGCGTGGATTGAACATCAGCAAGCTAAGGCTGATTGGTTGATTCAGGTAGGTTTTGGCTAAGGAAATACAACATTTGTCCACTCTAATTTTTTTCAAATTAAATTAAACGGATTTTGATTATATAAGTAAAAGAATTAAACTAGGGGTACATCGAGACGTAGTACTCCATTTATACACCAAGCTAACACAAACACATATAGATACATAATAAAACACTAGGGAAAAGAACTAAAGTAGGAATAAAACATTAAAAGTATATACCAAAATAGGATTTCCGTGTTTTTATTCTCGAAATATCAGTTAAAATCATTTACATTACTAAACATGGTTATTTACATTACCAAAAAGTATAGTAATGTGGACATGTACAATGCCGCATTACCTCCACATTGCTACACTGCAAACTTCTATTTTGAGAATAAAAACATGAAAGTTCTATTTTGGTACTTTTTTTATGTTTTAGTCTTATTTTGGGCGATTTCACAAAACACTACTGAGAAATTAGTTCATTATATAAATATGCACTACTGCAAATTTAATATAGTTAATTTTTTAAATTCATAAACTACTTTTTTTTTCTTTCCTTTGTTTATTTTTCATAAATCATGTGTTAAAAGGACATACTGTTGTTTTACAGAGTTCATAACTTCATATCTCTCAAAAACATTTTACAACAAAATAAATACTTAATCCAGAAGAACCATAATGATCTTTCCAATGGGTGATCTACCTCCATAGCCACAACTTCCATCCCAGGATTATTAATGTTCATTCACACTATAATCTTGTTCTAGTAGTCGTTATAGCTAGCTAACTACAACTGGCCCGGGAGGCAGTTCCCCTCGAAGAAAAGACGAAATGACAACGAGGGAACGCTGTGGTTGGTAGCTGGCAAACTCGTGCCCCGCTCCTCGTATCGTCGCCAGTGTCAATCCCTCGTACACTTCCACGTATCCCCCCACCTCCTGCACAAGTCATCAATCATCCGTATAGTCACACCATGGATGACATCAAGGTTGACACTGTCTGCCTCACACTGGTTGTAATCTCGTAAAAATAATGCGAAGTATTGTTCAAGAAAGGGTCATTATTAACCTACTTGTAATGTTTGGTCAGAAAGCCAGGGACGCCAAGCAATCACTACAGCAAGTTTCATATTGCTAATTGCAAGCCTGGTTGTTGTTACTGACATTATATCATCCAGGTCCCCACTGCATTTTACCATTTCAAGTTTAATGAAACCAATACAACATTAATATTATCCTATTTTAACCATAATATTTGAACCCGGAGGTTTAACCCCAGTCTTACAGACATTACAGCCATTCGACACTGTTCCGTGTCTGCAACATCTGTAAGACTGGGGATAAACGTTGGGGTTCAAATGTTGGGGCCAATCAAACATAACCCTATTTAATACTCCTTTTGTCCAGATTTAATTTAGTTAGTTTACCTTATAATCAAAATGTGCACTTTATTTTCAATGAGGTGCTGGAGTGTAGGCAAAACAGTCATAGGCATATTCTTCCAGTTCCTCAGGCCGACATTATGGCTGCGAAAACAAGGAAAAACGCGTTATACGTAGTAATTAAAGAGCTTTGGGTTCCATCAAATTCTCTAAGTTGAGGCAAGTAAGTACCTTAAAATTGTCCAATTAGTATTGATAGCATGTAATGCTTCTTGCACATCCCTTCGGTTGACGTATCTCTCCACGTAATAGGGCGAGCACTCGTCGTATCCCTTCAATCACCATCGTCATCGTTACATTTACACATCACGTGTATAAAAACAGCAGATCGTATGTATAGAAATGAAACGAATGCGCACCGTGATGGGAGGAGATTGAGGTTTTGATGCGTTATGTGTGGTGGTGCAGTCGTAGGAGAAAATGTTGGCTCTAGGCACGGGCCCGGCCTCGGAGTTTGCTCTAGACATGTACGCGTTGCACTTGTCTGAATACTTTCCGCTTTCAAAATCACAGTATTTGGTTATTGCTTCATGAGTTGTGTCTGAGATCATCGCGTGTGCCCACAGGTACTCTAAGTTCCCTTTCGCGGCTAAATGTAAATCCAGGACAGGATTCCCAATCTGCACGCACGAAAAAAGGGTAAAGTTTTATCATTCGTTCTATGATGCGCGAAAAACTATGTACATATACAAAAGTAGTGAGACTCACAGCGATGTTTTTGAGGTTGATGAATGGGAGAGAGCGGTTTTTGTTATTCAGAAGAATGGCGTAAGCAAGCTCAGAAACAAAACGCCCGCCATAGCTCACTCCAGACAGGTAAAGATCACGGCTCTTGTACTCGGGGAATCTTTCGAGCCAGTTTACAAGAAAGGAATATGCGTCCGTGGTTGTCCTATTGTCGTCTGTGGTGTTGTAGTCTGAGGTTGTGTTGGAATACGAAAATCCCACACCCGCCGGGGATTCCAGGAACAATACATTTGCCACTGTCACATATATATAATATAATGTTGCAAATCAACCTCTAGCTACACATCTAACACAATACATTTGCCACTATCACTAAAGGGTTGGAATTATATTCCAAACCAAATTTGCAAAAAAAAAGTTTGGATCATGTTACAAACCCACCAAAGTTACCTCCACGGATAACAATCACATGTGATTTTATACAGACGGGAAAATTGTAAGGGCACCCGTGACGGGTTCCTGGCATTTTTTGAAAATTTTAACCTACCTTTGTTCCAAGAATAGTCATTCATGTACAATGTTTTCCCATCACTGTGCACTTTGAAAGGTCCAATCCCCAGAAATGATCCATATCCAAGAGCTGAGCTTCCTGGTCCTGTATATAAATGTTGAAAAAAATAGAAAGGACAATTTTGGGAATTTATTCTAAATCAAATGTAACAACAATACTATTTCTTATATGTATACCTCCTGCTAACCACAAGATAAGAGGTTTGGAAGAGGCATTGTGGGGAGATTCAGCAAAGTAATAAAACAAAGACCTTCCGGCCTTGGGGTCCACCGTGACATAGCCGGAATACTGGCCAAACTCCACTCCGGGGGGTTGCTCCGGCAGGCCTCCGATCTTATCCGCCTCCCTCAATCCCTCTTGCTCCCCAATATATACTGAAGAAGAAAGAAAACCTTCTTGGTGTAGTAGCTGCTGAGTGGCTTGAGAGGGTATAATGGGAAATACCCATTGTTGCAAGGTGAGATGAAGAAGAAGAATATGAAGAAGCATAACTACTACGGCGTTTTAGCTTCGTATCCTCTCTCTTTGTATACTCCCCCGTCCAAATTGGATGCCCACGGGCCACTATCCATTTATTTGTATATTTTTTAGTAATAATTTGATAAAATAATATATTTTTCTCATTTTTTATTATATAATTTTTTTTATATATTTTTAAATAGTGTAATATATTATTTTATTTTTATACTAATTTGTAATTAAAAAAATTTATTAAAATGATGTGATTTCACACGTTAATTGGAGTGTGGTATCCAATATGAGAGGCAATGATTATCCTTATTTTATTGACCAGATGTATTTGTAGCATTAAACAAAATAACAAATAAGTCTTTTACCGTTAGAATTTATTCAATACCGGAATTTGAATAAAAAATAATCAATATATAAATTTCTGAGTTAAAATTGAATAGAAAAGTAATCGATATATAAATTCTTGAGTTAATCTAAGTAATCGACAAAATTCAATTTTATGATGTGATTCAACCTGATTACTCGCTTGAAAGTCCATTCTCGGTGGCTCATGGTCCTTTAGGTATTGGTGCTAAAAAACCATGAGATGGAAGTCTATTTGCAAGTGGTCAATCGGTTAGATTCAAAATGGCTGGATCGTCCACTTGAGAGGAAGTATTAGAGTATATTCTACATCAAAAGTTGAAAAAAAAAGTAATCGATATATAATCTCCGAAGTTGAATTAGGTAATCGATTAGATTCAATCTTTTGATGTGGTTCAACTCAATCTAATAATCTTTATTCCATCCTAAAATCCATCATTTACAAACAAAATATTCACATGCAAATCACAGAAAAATATAAGAAAATCTACATTTTAAATCTGGATCTGAGCATCACTTAAGTAAAAAATACTCCATATCATATAAGAATTGGGCTTTTTGTAAACTAAGAAAAACGCATTTTGAAAAGATCTAGTACATTTTTTATGTGCACGTTAGAATCAGGGGAGTACATGTCAAAATTGTTGGTTGGTGTGTCCCTTGTACGACACTCCTCCTCGACTAAGTTGAGTTTTATTATCTTGTTTTCGAAATATTTATCCAATTTTGACTTTTTTATTAAATTATTTAGTCCTTGTTTCGTTCAACTTATTTTTTTGTCATTAAACGAATTTTCAAATTAGATCAAACCAAATTAGATCCACTCAAGAATAATAATAATAATAATTATTATTATTATTCTTAAAAATGAAAAAAATAAACTTTAGAAATAAGTTAAATAGAAAAACTGAGAAAATAATCCTTAATTGTTAAGTGTCGAAAAAATTATTTTTAAAATACATAGACATTGTCGATCTAATTCTACTTTTAAAGTACATTTTTATTGCTACCTATAATTTGAGTTTCTAAAATTTTGATCTTTTAATACATTGAATTGATCAACTTTGATCATGACTTAAATAAAATTAACATTTGATATTCATATACGGAGTATATTTTAGTATAACTGAAATAACTATTATATCTATGGTTTTATATTAATCATAAAAAAGTTTCGTAATACAAAGCACACGCTGATATTTTATAAGGATGAGATATTTTAATAAAAATACTATCTCTTTTTTATATTGATGATCTAAATTTAATTACTTTTTAATGTATATATGAATTAAATATTTATTCTAATGTATATATGAACTAATTATTAAAATATTAAATCAATATTCTTATTTCATAAAAAATAGTATTACATTATAATATGAATGATTATTCTAATATATGAATTAACAAATTTTATTTCATTAAAAAATAATCATAAAATAAAAAATATTGATTATATTATAATATGAATTATCATTACAATTTTCAAAAGTTATTATAAAGTCAAATCAAATTATTGAATTGAATTTTAAATCAAATCATAATTAATCAGATCAGATCCAATTAGACCAGACCAAATCAGATCAGATCCAATCAGATTAGATCAGATCAGAACTACAAAAAATTAGATAAGATCAGAAAAAAATAAGTTGAACGGAACGGAGCCTTATACCTTTAATCTATAATTAAATAAAATATATAAATTACATATTAATTAAATAAAATAATATTTTGAAAATATTTTATATAATAAATCTAATAAACTATTTTTGTATCAATATCTAATACTCCGTATCATTTTTATTTATTTTGAGATCAAAATTTACCAATTTTGACCGGGTCGGATTCGTGTCCGGTCAGGTTTGAGTCATTCTTTGTGGGTCATTACGGGTTCGATCAACCAAACTTTTGTTAAAACTCAATATTTCTGGACCAGGTCATGATTAAAAAACAAGTCTGGTTAATTTTTGAGGTCTAAATAGGATACACACTTATACGTAAAAGGGATCATTTCATATTGATTATTAATTTTCAGATCAATTTCCTTTATTGGATCACTACTTCAGAATTGATCTAAGGAGATTGCTGTAGTAAGGGTGGGAGTTTCACCAACAAGGTAACTGTACAAATTTTGTTTAATCTTTCGGCATAAGAAAAATACGGAGTAAAACTGAAACGAACAGAACCACATTGTTACCATAAAAAGGAATGTTTTATTTGTATATCAATTGTTTAAACCATAATGCACACTGCAATACAAAAGGGAAAATTGTGATTATGAAAATTGCATGCTCACAACAAGTCTTTGCTGCTAAGCTGAGGGGGGAAGTTTCCCTTCAAGAAAAGAGGAGATCATAGTGAGGGCCCGCTCTGGCTGGTAACTCGGAGGCGCGTGCCCCGCCCCTCGTATTGTGACAAGTGTCAATCCGTCATATTCCTCAACATATCCTCCGACCTCCTGCTTGTTTTTTTTTCATTCAAGAAATCTTTTAGTGAATTAATAAAGCGTTATTAAGAGCAATTGAATTTAGGACATGATTAGGAGTCAGGGTCAGGGCTATAAGACACTTGGACTGAATCGCGGTTAAGGATTGAATGCAATCTGTTATATTATATAGCTCACTCAACTCAAGATCTTATATATTAACCCCATCATTCCTATCTCAAGTTTCTAATGTGATACCCTTGTCTTAGCTTTGTGAAAGTAGTGGTCTCATATAACATTTGTTTAGTACATACCTTTGTGGCCATAGAATACCAAGGACGCCAGGGTGTCACCACGGGGAGCTTCAGCGCGTTTATTGCATACCTCGTTGATGTCACTGGAACTAGACCATCTTGGTCCCCGCTGCATTCGTTGTTCCTTTGTTCGTTAAGAGTCTCACATTANCAGGCAAGTAGTAAATAGAGACTGCTTTAATTTCTTTGAAGATATATATCATTAATCTTATAGAGAGTATGTGTGTGTGTGTATATATATATATATATATATATATATATATATATATATATATATATATATATATATATATATATATATATATATATATATATATATATATATACACACACACACATACTCTCTATAAGATTAATGATATATATCTTCAAAGAAATTAAAGCAGTCTCTATTTACTACTTGCCTGTAAAGCCAAATGCGAATTCGGTTTGCAATGAGCTTCTTGATTATGGGTAGGACAGTCCTAGGAGCGTCTTTCCAGTTCGATCCCCCAACTTCTTTGCTGCAATTAGTTAAAACGAATCACTACTATTGCAATTCGTTGTTGTTTTTGTTGTATTATTGTGATAACATATTGGTGTTGGGGGGTAGGGTGGATGATCACCTGCAGCTTCTCCAAGTGGTGTTGATGGTATGGAAAGCTCGTTGCACATTCTTCCGGTTGAGGTAAGCTTGGACGTATGTGGTTGAGCACAGATTGAAGGTCTTTCATAAAATTTGGTTTAATGTTAGCTTGTGGGCGATGCCATTGTTCATCAAAAGTATAATAAAAAGTTGAAGAGAAAAGGGAATACTAACCAAACCAGGAGATTGGGCTTTGGGTGAATCTGGAACACATAAAGAACTGTACATGATGTTAACAATGGGAACAAGTCCATATTCTTGTATCATTTGTATCAAGTACTTTTGGCAGGTTTCCGAATAATTGCGACGCGCAAAGTCGCAATTCTTGATGATCCCTTGGTGTGTTTCGTCCGAGCTCATCGCGTGCCCCCATAGGAAGTCCGAAATTCCTTTCATAACCAAATCATAATCCAACAAACCATTCCCAACCTGCAAAACATGTCATCGTTTTTTGAGGTCATCGGGTTGAGTCACGCCGAACACATATTCTTGAAAAACATGAAACTCACAGCAATGCCTTTGAGGTTGATGACGGGAAGACCCGAATTCTGGTTGTTGTTCTGCGTTACAATGGTGTGAGCGAGCTGAGGAATGAAATGGCCGCAGTAGCTCTGGCCAGCTATGTAGAAATCCCTCTTCTTGTAATGTGGGAATCTTTGGAACCAGTTTACTAGGAAGGTGTAAGAATCTTTGGCTGTTCTCCGGTCACCGGTGGTGTCATAGTCCGAGGTGGTGTTGGAGTACGAAAACCCCACACCCGCGGGCGATTCCACGAACAATACATTTGCCACTGCCAAAACCAGATCAGAACAATTGATCAGATGCATAATATGGAAAATCTTTAGTTAATCCAGTGGTTGATATGATTCACCATTGTTCCAAGCATGTTCATCCATGTACAGAGTTTTTCCATCGCTACGTACATTGTAAGGTCCAATCTCGAAGAAACCAAGGCTTGTGCATCCGGGTCCTGCAAATCAGCCATGAACAGTCACTTCTCGAAAGCTCTTAGATCTGATCAAGAATCAATTTAGTTAAAAAAAAAATTAAGCGAACCCAGAAAAGATTTATGCTAAATGAAGCTATAGAATTCGATTCGGGCACAAACCTCCGGTGAGCCAGAGGACCAGAGGCTTGGCGGAGGAGTTGTGGGGCGATTCGGCCAGGTAATAAAAGAGTGACCTTCCGGCGAGGGGGTCGACGGTGACGTAGCCGGAGTATTGGCCGAATTTGACGCCGGGGGGTTGTTTCGGCAGGGAAAGAATCTTGTCGGCCTTCATCAACCCTTGCTGAGGTCCAATATATACTGAGGAAGAAGAAGGAGACGAAAGAAGGTCTTCATCAGGCCACTCTTCTGAGAGGGGAAGATTAATGTTATAATCGGGGGAGATGAAATTGGAGGTGATGAAGGAATGGAGGCGCTGAGCGTGAGTGGTGGTAGTGGCATGGCAGGGTATGATAATGGGAAGGAAAAGCCATTGTTGCAGGGAGAGAAGAAGAAGAAGATGCCATAGCTCCACCATATTCATCTTCAATTATGAGCCAACCTTGCTGTTGGTTGACTAATGGTTAAGTATCCTAGATTATAAAGCACTCGCTCTTGACATTCACAATGAGTCACAAAAACTCCAGTCACAAAATACACAAACTTGTCATTTGTGCACCTCACCAAGTGAATAAAATAATATTAAATAATTAAAAAGTAGACATTTAATTACATAAATAGTAATTTTGTGTATTTTGTGACTAAAATATTTGTGAACCCTAACACTTCTCAATTTTTTGTTAACGCACCTGATGGTGTAAATTACCACGCAAATGCTAAGTAAAGTAATCGGAAGGGTTGTAGGTGAAAACACCTGAAACCTGGCTTGTTATTAATGAGAGTAGGAACTATTACAATCAGTACAGGCCGTGTGGATTAATTAAAGGTTGGCTGAGGTTTTTAGGAGTATTTATAATAATCCTAAGCGCGTCAAGCACGTCTCTGATTATCCATCCGGTCAGTTGGCTGACCGGTCCCCTACGCGCACTTCAAGAATAGATCTTTAGTGGTTGGCTCCGGCCAACCCCTCCAACCGGGCAAACAACCCGGGCTGGGAAGGGTGCGCGCTGTCACTTTTATGACCACCCATACGGGCGAACAAACCGGGTGGTATCCATGGGTTATTACCCATCAGCACCAAGACTTGTGTCGGTATAAACTATCAAAATGTTTGTGTATAACTGTGATATACAAATGAGGTATAATTTTTGATGCAAGTGTAGCATGACCCAAATAAAAAATGCAATTTTTTGAGTAACATATTTGTTATTATTAAAGTTGAAAATGAAATTAGGGAACCTATAAAAAGTCAAATAAGGGACAAGCTTATGTTTGGATGATGGCATGGAGTAAATCAGCAAAGGAATGTCTCTAAGGAAAAAGAAAATGTAGAAACGAATTTTTTCGTACGGAGGATAAGAGCTGTTTTTGTGCTTTTGTTACAAAGAGAAGGAAGGCATTTGGTTCATTCTCTTAATAAGGAAGCAACTTTACTCTTGAAACGAATGTCTCAAGGAAAAAGAAAATGTATTTAACACATTTTCAAATGATACCTTAGTGGGTAAAAACTAAAAAGCAGAAATGGTTCCTCAAAAAGGTGAAACGCACACCTCGGACACGTACCTCACACGCGGCCAGACAAAATAGCGACGAGATACATAACATTTTACTCTTAATTTAGTCTTTAAATATACCATTTCGTGCCCGGCACAAGAAGCTATCACATTACATATATTTTGGACTTATACTTCTCTATCAAGAGCAACTAATTTAGATTCTCGTATAAATTAGAGGTGTGGCAAATGAGAATAGCGTGCACGGGAGATCTCAATGGTTGTGTTGGTACAACACCACGAACAGACACGTTATACACTTGTACACAAGAATATCATTGAAAAAATGTAAGAATATCTTGAGATTTGGAGAAGTTAATGGAGTAATAAGCATCTAGTAACTTGCATTTACCTCGACGTTGAGCTTGAGGAAAATGTATGTTTCTGAATGTTGGGTATCTAACACTTGTAATCAAGGAGAATTTTTTCTAGAAATATTTGCACTAAATAGCACTAAAACTTAAGTCATTTCTCTAAATAGCACTTAAATTATTTTATTCCCTAAATAGCACTTAATAATGTCCATAATGTCTAGTGATGACAAACATTTACTTGAATAATGACTAATGGATGATGACTAAAACTGCTACATTGGAAAAAATACATGTGATGCTATTTAGGGAAAGTCATTATGTTCTAGTCTTTTTTCTATATGTATCGTCTTGAAATAGTAAAAAAATATTCAATTTCTCAAAAAAAAATCTTTTTGTTAGGACCATTCATTTTGTCCATGTTCTGAGTATTTCAGGTCTTACACGCTTAAAAATTCCAAACATCTCTTACATATTTTTTCTTACTGGCTTCTTGACATTTTAACTTCACAAAATTCAAACCGCTATTGAAAAGTAAAAAGATGTAGTTAAAATTTATTTAGATCAAAGAGTATTTTTGATAACAATATATTCATTACCAAAATTAAAAATAAAGTTAGTGTAAGGTTTTTGAAATTAAACATCCAAAAAAAAGAAAATGTAAATTTGGATGCTTTCCGTCCAACTTAAAATCTGCTTTCCGTCCAAGTTTCAGTTTGTTTATATGCTTGCATTTCGTTGTTCTATTCAAATTTAAAATTCTATCGGCATGATTTATTACCATAATACGTAGTATATTTGATAGAGAGTATACTCATAAAAAAGAGAGGAAAATAATAATGAGTATATAAGTACTTGAATTGAACTAAGTTATTAATTGGATTCAATCTTTTAACGTGTTCAACCAAAACGTCGTATGATCGAACTTAGCAAACATGTTATACAGATTTCAAGAATAACAATATAATATGAACACGAAAAACACGACAACAGATTTACGTGGTTCACCAATAAATTGGCTACGTCCACGGGGAAGAAGAACAGTTTTATTATGGAGAGGCAAGAACAGAATACAGCTTAGGATTTTTGATAGCACATATATATAGTGCTAGGCTACACCCTATCAAGCTTGGGACCAAAATATAGAATTGACAGATAATTAATAGTCCAGTACATCAACATTGTAACGGGTCAGATTCAAGGCATTACAACAAAACCCTCACCGCATTCTAAATTCTATCATGATATCAAATCTAGTTTTACTCCATCTCATTTGTTAAGGTATCCGTCTAGAATTTCATTTCTAGCGACCCATTAGTCTTTAGCATAATTGTCCGTATGAAAAATGGTTTGGATCCAGATGACTCGATTGTTCCTCTGGAAGTTAATACCCAGTCTTTTGAATGTTGGTGTTTCGATCCTTTCATTTCCTGGGGAGGGGGGGTCCATTTGCGAGTGATCAACCAGGTAAATTCAAAATGTCCAAATTTTCCACTTGAAGGGAAGTGTTGGAAAGTATCAAATTTTGAATTGAATTAAATAATTGATTGAATACAATCTTTTAATATGATTCAGTTCAAATATCTTATGATCCAGTTTAGATAACCCTCATAACAACCAAATTTTTTCAATATTTCACACTACAATATAAAAGGGAACATTATAAAAAAGTTCATGTTCACACCAAATTTGAGTGACAACTTGTCATACCTTCGTACGGAGTATTCCGCAACATATCCTCAGTCCTCCTGCTTGTTTTTAGAAATCTTTTAGTGAATAAATAAATGAGTAATTTACCTAAATAAGACTAAAACATAATGACTTTTTAAATATAGAATCATATATTTTTATTTCTCAATGTAAGACCATATGTCATTATCTATTAGTCATTATTCAAATAAATATCTACCATCACTGGACATTATTCTTCCCATTAGACATTATTAAGTACTATTTAGGAAATAAAAAAATTTAGGTCTTACATTTGAAAATGACTTTTGTTTTAGTCTTATTTCATGCAAATTTCACTAAATAAATTGGATTAGGAGTCACAAGACGCAAGAGGCATAGACTAAATCACAATAAGAATGTAATCTTTAAGTTTGTTGGATTAAAAATTTGGGTAAGCCCATCATTCCTATCTTAAGGGTATCTGTCTTAGTTTCTCAAAGTATCGTAGGAGGTAGCCCTATCCCCGAAAACCTCCTCAGAGCCGATCAGACGGTCAAGGGTCTCATATTAAAAAATGACCATTGCTTTGAACATTAGATGAGTAACTTTGTGCCAATAGTGTACCAACGACGCCATGCGGTTGCCACTAGGAGATTCACGGCGGTTGATTGCATACCTAGTTGACGTGAGAGACAATTATTAACTCTCAAATTCTAAATATAAAAATTATCACTAGATAGTCTTTTTAAAATGTTAAAGTTATTGCCGAACATGTTACATGTGCATATATAGATCAATGATCTTTTTCAAATATTTTTATTTTCTACTCACATGTAAAGCTAAATGCGTATTCGGTTAGCAATGGGCTTCTTGAGTATGGGTAGTATTGTCCTAGGACGGTCTTTCTCGTTCTTCAATCCAACTTTTTTTTTGCAATTAATTCGCATAATATAAAAAAAATTAACTACCTTTACAAACAACATGTATAAAAGATAGTTATTATTGTCATTTTTATTATTATTAAGACTGTTATTTGGTGTAGTAAATGTGGAAAAGATGAGGGTATGAAGGTAGGTAGCGTTCCGTCGCATCTGAAATGATTTTTTTTAGGATATGCTCTGTCCTGATCTTATCCGATCTAAGCATATTATAGTTATATTTAAAACTATTTCTGATATGATTTGATAAGATTGTATTTATATTTAATAAGTTGAAAAAATAAGTTGAACGAAACGCAACTGTAGTTCGGCTGAGAGATACTACAAAATTCTTTATTTGGTCTGAAATATTATTTTTCTTTATTTTTTTATCACTCTGTAGTTACCAACACATACCTCATAACTTAAAGTCTCCATCTAAAATGTTACATATTCTGCATAGCTGGCCGTCTGAAGTATTGGTATAAAATTAAGTAATTTCTGGGAATAATGGTTAAAAATATTGAATTTCAGAATATTAGTGTAAAATAAAAAATTTCTTGAAGTATTCATGTGAATTTTCCAAAATTCAATTATAGATCAAAATTTAAAACTCATCCTATATCATTTCTTCTTGCTCCTTATTTTTTGATTTCTTTCCATCAACGAAACAAAACCTACACTTCAAAAATTCAAATCATTACTCTCAGAATTATACAATTATATATAAATACTTTGAGATATAATTAATGACATCGATACTCCCAAAATTTTCATATGTTTGCATCACTGCTTTAAGAATTCATTTATGTTTAAATCTATGCTCCAAATGTTGGGGCACGATGTAAACCTATTTCAATGTTGGAGTATTGATGTAAACATAGGAAAATTCTGGGAGCATTTGTGTTTCCAAAACTTAAAAGATGGGACCTATGGAGAAAAGAGGAACGGAAGAAATGATGGGCGTACACACTACACACACCGTATGCTTTTGTTCCCCGTCACTTCGGACAATGCGCGTTTCATAGTGCCAAATTAAAGTGTAATGGACCCACCACAAAAGACTAATAATGCCTCCACCGTCCATATTTAGGGGCCTTAATTACCAAGCAATTCATTACGTGCTATTGGTGTCATTAATTAGTACTCATTTTATGTTGTCTTTGGCTCTTGGGTCAAATTAATCTATGTACCTAATAAATGGGCGGGTGATTTCCTTGATATTGCTAAGCAGAGCATGGTCATGGAATGACCTCGAAGTCTTAAGTTGTTGTATTCGTAAAATTGACGGTTTCTATCTCTTTAATTAATTTTCAAGCTCGTTTTGACCCAAACCCACCTCTTCATTTGCACCCACAAAATATTTGACTTTGTAGTCAATAAAATTGGCTTTAAAGTTAAATAAATTTGAGAGTACAATTGAAAATGGTGGAGATAGGTTTGGTTGGGGTGAGGTGGAGGGAGGAAGAGTTATCGTAAATGTCGAGAGTAAGAACTATCAATTTTATGAACATGACATTATGTGAGTCTCAATTGGATCCATGTCAAAGAAATTTCTCAGAAGGTATAGAAATCAAGTTAGTCTTTCTAATACGTAGTACTCCATCCGTTCCAGTGCATTTGTCCAATTTGACTTTTTCGAGTCAAACTGAACAAACTTTGAGCTCTAATTAAATAAAAACAATAATTTATTTTAACGTAAAAATGATTTTATTGGATTTATCGTATTGAAACTTTTAAAATTTTATTCATTATACTAATATGCAATATAAGTTGAGAGTAATTGGAGTTCAAAGTTTATCTAGTTTGACTCAAAAAAGTCAAGCTGGACAAATAGACTGAGACGGAGAATTTGATTCATATTTCTAATCATAGAGATTAGTTTAACTCAACGCATCATATATTTATTTTTTGATTTGATCAGTTCTGAGAATATTTGATTTGAGGATCTGAGGTCTCAAAGCCCATGGGCCTACACCAGAGGAGAGATACGGGCCGACTATGAAGAAAACTTCTGCTCAGAATAAGGTCCAAATCAATTGCAAACGCAGAAGTCAGAACGGAACACGCAGTCGTCGACGGCGGCGGCGACGCCCTCTACCCTTCTGCTCCCGCCGGCTCCTCCCATTTCGAGCTCCCCGCCGAAGCCGTTCCCGCTCAGATCAGTGGAAGATTGATTAGAAGCGATTTAAGACCAAATCCCATGGAAAGGGACAACTCCAGCTCAAAACGCCCTGTTTTCTGCCTGAAATGGCCGTGGGAGACTGCAATCCCTAACCAGAACAACCCTAGAAGCCCTTGCACGCTCGAAACCCCATGGCTGTTCAGATCCTTCCAGAATCTGACGTCTCTGGCCGTCAATTTCATCAACACCTCGCCGAGATCCAGAAACTCTCCGCTCGGAGGGACAATGGGGAAGAAATCGAGTCCGGAGGAACAATCCGCGGCGGAGCAGGGCGCGTTTGCGGCGGCGCTGGCGAGCGATAAAGCCGCGACGGTGCTGGAGTTCTACTCCCGCAAGTGCCAACTCTGCAACTCCCTGTCGAAATTCGTGGCCGAAGTCCAGAAACGGAACGCCGATTGGCTCAACATCGCGTTCGCCGACGCCGAGGACGACCGGTGGTTGCCTGAGGTACGCGCATTTCCTCAGTCCCCGTTTTTTTTGTTTTGTTTTGCAGTGTTATTAAAACTCTGAATCCTCCTCCTCCTCCTCCGCCATAGCTTCAGCATTATGACATAAAGTATGTTCCATGCTTCGTGGTGGTGGACAAGGAAGGGAGGGCGCTGGCAAAAACAGGGGTTCCGTACAGCAGGCTCCATGTCGTCGCAGGCGTTTCTCATCTCCTAACATTGGGACGCCCTCACAGAGAACACAACCCATGATCTCATCATCTCTCATATGCTCTTCCATTGCTGCAATGATGAAGAACCGGGGCGACTGTTGTTGTCAAATACAAGAAGCTTTGCTCTATATAGCCTTTGACAACTTCCCTTTGTATGACAATTGTGTATCTGTGTTTCGGTGTAAGAGGCTGTTTGATAACTTCTAAATCGGTAAGTGCTGAATCAGTATAAGAGGTCTGAACCATTAAGAGCTAGTATATTGCTTAACTATTCAGAGGCAAATGTCTGATCAATTCAGATAAAAGGTCTTAACCATTCAGACTCTGTATAATACTTAACCATTCAGAGGCAAATCTCTTAACCATTCAGACATCTGAACCATTAAGAGGCTGAAACGAACAGTCTGAACTATTAAGTGCTGAACCATTCAGACATCTGAACCATTAAGAGGCTGAAACAAACAGCCCCTAAGTCTTGGTGTGCATTTGGTATCATATATTTTGGTGTCCCACAAGTTATTTTTGAGTCTAAATTCATACAGTATCTCCCAAATTTCAAAATATCAAAACATTTAATCCCTATTTAAGAAGAGTATGATATTGAGAGGTATCAAATCTAAGCTCACCAAAGAAACTCTTAGTCATTACTTTTGGTACTTAATTTCTAGATTTTTGGTAAGAAATCTCACTTGCTACTTGCTAGATTCTAAACTTCTATCATTAGATTTCAAGCATTAGACTCTAGTCACTCTATTCTAAAAATGTTTCATAGTTTTCAAAGTTATTGTGGTGTTAAAGATTGTGTGACAATTTGTAATGCCAAACTTAAAAGGTAATCTAGGTTTTTACTCCCTAGTTAATTCCTATCACATGCCAAAAACACCCCTCTATTAGTTTTGCAAGTTAGACACCAAAGTGTCAAAGTGATCCCTCTATTAGTTTGGAAACTAAAATGATCATTTCTAGTCGTTAAACTCAAGTTTTCACTCTTTCATCAGTCCTTTAATTTTTTCACGGTTTATAATTGAATTTTAATTTTAATTGCTCGTAAATTTGTTCTTTAATAATTCATCCCTATAAAAAAACAATCGATCCTCTCACCAATCACATGACCAAAACCTAGTTGATATCTTTTTTACAATGATGAGTTCATTAAGAAAAATTGTAGAACCAAAAACAAAATTTGTTAATTATACAAATGATAAACATATTTAATTCCTTTTTTATTTGATTGATGATCGAAATCAACAAAATTGATTGAAGAAATTAAACTAGGTCAACACTCATGCTTAGAGTACCAAGCGTGACCCCATGTTTGACACCGCAACCTTTACATGAAGCATTATTCCATGTCTATAATGTCTATAAAAATTGTGGTGTCAAATTTGGGATTACACTTGAGTCACCCAAGGTTAAGTCTTTCTTTTGCTCTCAAATAAAACATTTGAAAAGCCCAAAGGTTAACTCTTTGAAAACAAAAACAAAAAATCTGTTTAAAATAAAAATGGTGTATAGGTTAGGTGTGGTGTACACAGAGCACCAACCAAAAAATACAGCATAACAAAATAAGAGGATAAAAAAAATTTGAAAAGCCCACAGAACTTTACAGAGTTGGGTAAGTTACAGGTACAAAATTCACATATAGTACAATACAATATGAACATTTTTTTTTGCAGCAGATGAAAGTTACTTGGCAAATCTAGAAGGAATATATTCATCAATCCTGAGGGGATAGCTATAGAATTCGTCGTTTCGGCTATCTCCTCTCCTCTGCTGGAATGGGACTAACCACGGGACGCCTCTCTCTTCCAATGTGTCCCGAGCTCGAAGCGTGTTGTCCAAAACTGTCCCAACTATCATTGCAACACTTGCCGGCGACGAAAATATTGTGTTCAATATCCCATTGAACTGTAAAATAAGCAAAGCGAAAAATTCTCACCCTTACAATGGCTACCTAGTAAACATCCGATGTGGGATACTAGAACTGCGGCTCTCCCGTTTAGTATCCCACATCGACAATGTTTAATATTGCACATTAAACATATGTTTGTGCATAAAAAAATGTGGTGGGCAACCTAGAGAATACAAGGGTGGTGTAAAAAAAAAGGCATTTTTAGGAAAGAACGATAAGTTTGTACCTCTTTCGTCCCAAAAGGGAGTTGCATTTCTAATATATAATATTAGAACTGTGGATCTCTTTTTTGGACGAAAGGGGTATTTCTTACAATCTTACCCATCCGGCATGGGTCCTAAGAGGTCCGTGGCCACCAATATCTGTCTTCATCACAAAATATTGCGGTATGGATATTCCCATGAACAGAGACACGCCCAATACATAGATGTTTCGCATTGAGTTGCTGTTTGCAAACTGAATGAACGAAACCCCGACCGCAGCTGCAATGAAAAGGGTATTTTAGGCAAATATACATCGGGAAATGCCAAAACCCAAGTCCTTGTTTGGTAGGGGTTAAGTCAAAGGCTACTTGTAAATATTGTTCTGTTGATAAGCATAATTAGGCAATTGATGCTGCCAAACGGGAGCTAAGAGAACGTGAGGACTCACAGACAATGCCATACAGGATGCAATATACGGCCGCAAAAATTGGCAAAGGAATAGATGCAAAGAGAGCTCCGAATTTCCCTGTGAAAAAGACAAAACTACCCTTCATAATTGTTCAACAAATCATGGCTTCGTCACATAGTTGGATGATTCTGATCGAGCACATGAAAACATAAAAAGCAACGTCGGGTCAAACAAAAGAGAGAGAGAGTCAAACCAAATATAGAAAAGAAGATCATGAAACCACTGGATATCTCCACAACTCTTCTGCTCCCGACTCGAGTTAGCCCGAGTAAGCCCACATTCTCACTGCATTTCCCCATGCAAACTTCAAGTTAGGTCCAGGAATGAACACATATAGAAAGGATACAAATCACTTCATGTCTCAATTTGCAATCATATTAGAATTTAGAAATCCGAACTATCCATGATTCAGAGTATTTTCTTTTAAAAAAAGAAACATTTGTTAATCAAACAAGATTAATCAAATCTGAAGCGCAATAATAATTCCTTACACCGATGCAGTTGTACCAACAACACCACCAAAAAACCCATCAAGGAGCTGTCCTATACCCTGCAGTCAACGAAATGAAAATGAACGTGACCAAAAATATATTAATGTATTAAAACTCCAAAGAAAGTGAGATGAATTGGTAAAAGAAAAAAATAAAAAAAACATTTAGTAATTTCCATATGACTAAAATAACCTGAAGGCCAATGCTTCTGCTTATAACATATGCAGGAGGGATTGTGGCACCTGCTAGCCTTGACGCTGCATAAAATGTTGTGATGGACTGGAAAAGAGACAGGTGCAGTTAATAAATTTTAGATGTTTCTTTTAATTTAATTCTATTTATGTATTTTTAATACATAAAAGTTGAGAAATGTAAATATGTGTGAAACTGAGAAGGTTTTGATCAAATGTGATTTCTCTGTATAGTCTATCATGCAACCAAACATTAAAAATATTGATTTCCTTTGTGTTTTTCCCTTTCCGTACAGCTTTCCAGATTAAAAAGACAGCCTTAATTCATCTCTAGACATTTCATTTCAGTAAAAATAACAATTTTCCACACAAAAAAAAACATTTTAAAAAAATGACAGACCTCTGCGGACGTAACCAGGGCAGCCCCCATCATTCCAAAAACATGGCTTGCTCTAAATATGGGAGTACCCCACTGGAAAGGATATGGAATCTTGATCCTAAACCAAACGGAGCACATCGAGAGTTGGTCAGAGTTGAACAACAGACAGACAAATCCCTATTGTTGAGATAGATAGATTGCAGTATAGTACTACCATGGAGCAGATGAAACAAGGTATGAATGGTCGGTACAGCAACTCTGCTTGGTGCTCTCCTTAACATGTTTGTAAGCACCGGCTTCAGTAAGAATAGCAGCAAAAGCCCAGATGACACCGACGCAAAAGAGCAAAGCAAATCTTTCAAGCATGGGGCTTGCAACTCGATGGATTCGTTGCAGATACTGTAGATTACATGTTACTTAGTACTCGGTAATAGTTTGCATACTATAAAATATTATATATTCTGTATTCATTTATTTCCATGCCATAAGGAACCAATATAGTCAAAAGCTCAAGTCCGTGGTTAACTAATTAATTCTTTTTGCGTGAACCTTGCACGCCCATAAACTTTTTTTAAGTGGGTGGCAGAAAGATCTGAGCTTGTTACCTCTATGTCAACAAAGCTTTGATATCATGAAAAAGACCCAACTCAACCAAAAGTTCAAGCTAGTGAAAACCCAAGAAAGGATTTTAACACTTACAAAGTCATATTGATTGTATGGAATCGCATCATATATAAACCCATATGTACCATGTTTACATATAAAGATTCAATAAAAAAACTTTGGCATTTGGTCTCAACTCTGAGTTAGTAATATGAACAGAGTAAGAAACATTACCTGTTGGAATATAACTAGCAAAATTAGCATAGGGAGCCCAATCTGGATACAATCAGCAAGCTGCACAAGTAGAGGAGAAGCGATACACCGTATCAGGGAAAAATGTTATGCCAATCTAATAGCTATATATTCCCTCTGTCCCAAGTGAAGTTTAAACTTTATGTCCCAAAATAAAGTTGGGGAATATACCTATACAGTACTAAAACATAGTGAGTTTTCCAATGTAGTATCATACCCCGGAGTATGTTTTAATTTCGCAATGTAGTACCACTGGACATTGTTCAAGTAAATGTCCATGGTCCACCACCACTAGACATTGTTCAAAGCAAATGTCCACCGCCACTAGACATTGTTCAAAGTAATTGTCCACTGCGCATAAAAAGTTTTAGGTACTACATTGGGAAAAGACATGTTTTAGTATTATTTAGTGCAAATTTCACAATAGAGTTTGCACTTACTTTCCTATTAAGGAAAGAAAAATGTGGCTCAAAGCAATTCTCTCTTCTGGATAAATTTCAATCATACACTTTTTACTTTTCTACACTTCTCATAAACTTTGTGAAGTCAAACTGTAAACTTTGTTTTGGGGCAGAGGGAGTAGCTTGAGGGAGGGGTGGGGGGGGGGAGGATTTTTACCATTGGAAAGCCCCTTGCAAATAAACCAAGACCTAAAACAGATACCAGCGGAGCTATAACTACTGGGCTGAAGAGCCTGCAGTGAAGAAGATTGCAGAAAAAAATTACATCAAGAAAAATGACGGACCAAGACCTAATCATCAAAATCATCTACCCTTTAGGTTAGTTTTTCTAAACAAACACAAATTCTGTTGGCCATAATTGGCATTAAATACTTCAGTTTATTTAATCAATTACCATTTATAACACAAACTAAAACCAATATTCAAATTGTCCAGAATAGTAAACCAAAACAAGGGCACATCAAACTAACAGTGGTTCTACTTTTAAAGTCTGAGTTTTTTTATTATTGAAAAAAAGAAAACAGATCAGCAAAGAAAGAAAAATGTGGCTTCTTTAATTGATTAAATCACATATAAACAAAGAAAAACAGAAACAGAAACAAAATATAACTCGTTTATGTACAAGTAGTAAAAGTAGGAACATTTCGGCAGAGTTAGAGAAGTGTACCTTGTAAGTTTTCCCCAGACCTGACCATAGCCAAGAATGATATTAATAAACGAAGAGACAATTAGCGAACCTTGTATGCCTCTCATTGTGTGAAGAAATCTCTACAAGAGCCAACACAAAAAGACATTCTACTTATGGGCAAAAGTTGAGAAACGCTTTAATATCCGTTTACTATAGACAAAAAAGACACAAATGCACAATGAAGAATGATAACAACCTATTAATTATTCCCTCCATCCCACAAAGAACTTCACACTTTCCTTATTTGGATATCTTAAAAAAACCTTAACAATTCTACCTTTCCTTAAAAAGATAAGGAATATTTGGCCCACAAAAATTTTCTTCTAAACAAATTTCACCCACACAGTTCACTTTTCAACATTTTTTTGAACTTTGTTAACTTAAACACTGAAGTTCTTTTTGGGACGGAGGGATCAATTCTTTTAACACCGAAAATGATTTACCTCATGCTGAGAAGAAAAGTAACCATCAGAAAAATCATTTATGACTGACAGTGCTGATATAACATAAGCAAAAGAAGGACCCATGACCGTCGGAAGCCGTGTCCCAAGAAGCGTTTGGAGAAGTGTATTCACTCCAGATGTAAATAGCAAGGCTTGAATCACACGGGCCCTATCACCCTGCTCCAAAGAGTTGGTTTCTTAGTAAAATTAAGATGATGACAAATTGATGATAGACCTCAAATAACTCTCATGTAAGGGGAATGGTAAGGACATACCGCACCCCCACCCATACGAGGCACAAGCAGGTTCGCAATCATCACTGTTGTTCCAAGCATAACCACATAGTGTTGGAAAGCCAGCAAGAAAGTTTGAGCTGAAAATCATATGCCATAATTACCCTAGTAAGCCAAGATTCACAAATAACATACTAGTATAAACGTATTCACATATAGAATAGAATCTTTCCGCCTAGGGGAAAGGTCTATGTACACACACCCTACACACTACTTTTTGTGGGATGTTATTGGGTTTGTTGTTGTTGGAGAGAATCTACTCACATATGTTGGCAATGGCTATGGTGGTTGGGGTTATTCACCATAACTGGTAGAGTGGTAGCTAAGGTGGTGTACTGGTGTTTGTCACTAGGGGATTTAGAATGGTGCAAGTAATTGTTTGAAGAGAATGTAACTAATGGTTATGCAAATTATTTTCCAAGTGAATTACATATTCCAATGGTAGTGTGGTAGTTCAGTTCTCTTGTGAGTGAGTGTGGCCATCTAGCAATCAATGAGAAACAAGTCATTCATTATGGTAAATACTCCTTATGTGCGGAAGCTCGAAAATGAATGATGCTGAGTGTGGCCATGAGGTTGGTCATAGAGCTAGGATTAATTCGGCGAAGTTCGAAAACCTAAGAGTATAATTAATGTGATGATCTTAATTGGACTAAACATATGAGGAAGTTTTTTGTTGCTATAACTAACAAGGTGTTGAAACCAAGAGTACAAATTCCTCACACGTGTAAAAAAACAATTCGCCGCTTGATTTCCCTCTCGTATTTAAGATAAATTTTTGTCGTTTTTATTTGTGTCATTACTATGTCGCTTGAGGTTTCTTTGATTCTCTAACTTTTTGTGCCTCAAGTAGCTTGGATTTCCTAATAATATTTTCTTCATGTTTTTGTTGATTTCTCTACATGTAGTAGGTGAGCTTATTATTACGGAGTCTTATTATTATTATTATTATTATTATTCTTATTACGGAGTATTATTATTATTATTATTATTATTACATTATGTGGGTAAAATCTCCATACATCTTGGCCCAGACCCTACTATTGTGTGGGATATATTGGTTGTGTTTGGTTTGGTTACTTAATCACTCTCCACAGAATATTATATATATTCTCATAAAGATACTTTTTCTATGAGATATACTAAAGTTAACTAACACATCAGCCCTAAAACTTCATTTTGTGTCTATGTACATATCCAATTTGATCCAAAGTAACTTTAGAATATCCATTGGAAAAGCATAACTTTATGAGTGTTCTGTATGACTTTATTATATTCTCTATTTGATGCCCCCAAAAGTGAATGCACAGCAACATTTAAAATAACATTTTTGTTTAGAAATACAGAATATTTTTTTAAATGAATTCTTTTTGCAATATTATGTGGTAAATGGTTGGATACTGAAGTTTTAAAACTTAATTTGTATAATATTAAATTTAATATGGTCAATTAAATAAAATTCACAAACTCTAAAACTATTGATTTAAGAAGAACATTACAGTAAGAGAAGATAAGGTAAGAAATGAAATGGAATTTGAGTCATCAATTGCAACAAAGGAAGCACTTAATGCATCCTAAAATTAAAAAAATAAAAAAATGAAAATATAATAGAAAAATTATTAGCTAGATTCAAGCCATCCGTGGAGTATAATTTAACATGAAATAAGATTTTCAAAAAAATAAAAATAAAAACTGAAAATTGTGTGAGAATAAAGAGGACTGACGCCAGGAAGGGTTGGAGTGTATGCAGTAGTGAAGCTGAAGAAGCTGCTCGGCGGGAGGGTAAATTGGGCCTCTTGCTGCACCGAGCGGCATCACCGGCGGCGGACGAGCCGCCTCTGGCTGCGGTGGTTGGTGGCTGTGATCACCCATTTCTACTCTTTATTTCTATTCTTTCCCTCACTTTATGAACACCCAGAAACTCCCCTCTCTTTCTCTTCGTCTTCTTCTTCTTCTGCAACCTCGTTACCAAGAAATCTAAAACCCAGTTACGAAAAAAAAAAATTATAAAAACAGGAAAAGGAAGCTGCTAGGCTGAAGATCTCTGGGTTTTTCAAGAAGCAACAGAAAGGGGTGAATTCATAAGAAACGCAAGAATTGAAGGGGTGGTGGGGAGAAAGAAAAGAAGGGTCATGTTAAAAATGACGTTAGACAAATCGTCCTTTTTCGAGGAAAAAAGAAAAGGAGAAGACCAGTGGGACACATGTAGGGCCCGCATGGGCCCACGGTTTCCGATGAGAGTTAAGATAATTTGCACACTGCCCCCTTGCTTTCCAGCCTTATAACACTTTCAGGCACGTTCTAATTCTGTTTTACAAAATATTTTTATTTATTTGTATTTAATTTTTGAGGGAAAAAAACCACGTTCTATTCAATTTCAAGGTAGATCATGAGAATTCGGCGTGCTAAGAATTAAATACGAACGGAGTTGAGTAATAAAATACGGCGTGGAAGGTATGCTATTTTACCGAGTAAAAAAGTTAAAGAAGGAAAATATGGTTCAATGGTCTCAAGGATTAACTTAGAGAGTAATTTGAAAAAGATAAATTGAAATTTAATTTTATAGTGACAAGGAGAGAGTGAAATTTGTGTTTGGATGTGTAAAAATTTTATGTTGTATATAGTCATCCTTTATCACTATTATCATGATTTAATTTGAATGATACGTGCTTTTACATCTTTATTGACCAACTAAACTACGTTCCTACAAGAAGTAAGTTATTTTATACTAGTCGTGGACTCGTGCATGATAATGTAGTCTCACAAAGAGAAACCTTAACTTACATTTTAGGCTTACAAACCATCCTTGTTTGTATGGTCCTACTCAAGTTGAGTTGTTATTCTTTAAAGCATGGACGTTAATGATACATATAAAAACATAGTCAAACTCTCAACTCATTTTTAAATGAAAGTGAGTCCATTTTTATTAGCAAGACACCTATATAGTGATTCGAAGTGAAGACCTCCCATAATAAAAGATCATGAGCGTGGAGTGGTTAATGTTGGACCAATTCATCTTGTCAAAATTCTAGCACTACGTTTGATTCAAGAAATTTGAGAAGAAAAACAAAAAAAAAACGAGAAGTAAAATATTTTTCTTGTTCTGCTAGAGAGGAAAAGAGAAGACAAAATGTAAGAAGAGAAAGGAAAACCAAATTCCTCCCATTTTGTGAGGAAACATAGAGAAAATCATTTTCTTTTCTTTTCCTAACAAATTTTTAGAACCAAACATAGTGCAAAAGATAAACTTTTTGTAGTAGACGGTCCACCACACTATGGGCCCACCGCAAGAAATCACAATTTTCAATTCAACATTACGAAATAGTATAGAATGCTTGTCCCTACTCGTTTGATCATATTCAATTTAGGTTAAGATATTTTGAAAGCGTCTATACATCTAAACAGAAACTTGAACTCAAGACTTCCAACATAGAGGCCTTCTACAGTAGCCCATTTTTAAGGTTCCCTGGAGGCCTCTATATTGCAAACAACCAATACAGGGTAGTATAGAAAAACATATGCTACGTATTACTCCGTAACATTGAAGATATGATTGGAATAAGTATACGCCCATGAGTGAGATAAATCTTTTATTTGAAGATCTAACACAAATGATCAAACCCGCCAATATTTTCACAATTATATAAATATCAATGGAGCATTAGGTTGAAATCAATTTGATTGTCTTTTATTTTAATGAAATATGGATGGGCATGGAGTCACCTACTCACCTTACTCATTACATTCATAATGGGAGGGTAACTAACCATACAAATAGCAAGCATCATGGATTCACAATGCCATGTCTTTCAATTATATTTGACTCCTTCACAACTTAAAAGGAGAAATATATACATAGTCATTTCTCAACCACCCTAGTTCCAAAGAAACAAGCCAATGATATATGGACAGCCATTAACATAAATCGTGTGGAAATTGTTGGTTTGGTCCCTCAAGAGTTCTTGAATATGTAGCGCAACCATTTGTTGTCCATTCATACAATCCAACCCCTAGCTTAAAATGTCATCAACTCAGTCCCTCGCGTCCACTTTTGTAAACGAAGACCTGAATCGACTATATTTTAACCAAGGGGTTGGATTGCATGAGATGTACAATCAAGGGTCACACTACCAAACGCTGGATAAACGAGGGGCCAAAGTAGCAACTTTTTCACATGACACTAACAATCGAAAAGAAAAACAAAGATGTTTAAGCACATCTATCGACATACTTCAAAACTTCACCCAGAGTTGAAGCCATCTACAAGCCATTAATAGGGCATGGAAAGTGATGGCAAAGTAATCAAGAGTTGCAGTGAGTAGTTAGATATCTTCCCTCTAGGAGGAGGAGGAGGAGGAGAAAAGGGTCAAGAAAAGGCAAAATCATTCATCTTCATCTGTGAGCTATGCAGAGTGCTTGATACTTTAGAGGGCGGCCAATACCGGAAAACTGATCTGCCAATTATGTTTTCAACCGGAAGTGGACCCCTAACAATAACGAAGAAGCTTTATTTAATTTACATCATGATATATACAAGATCAGCCTACGAAAAATTACTCAGTTCCAACATTTAAGAATCCCAATCTAAAATTCCTTGCTATTTACTCCCTAGAATTTTTCAATTTCAATACGGACCCTTAAAAGGACGGGAAGAGAATATGCAAATTAATAAATAAGATCGCATGGGAAAAAAAGACTAAGATCGTATGGAGTACCAATTGTGAGAGTCGAAGCTATTGTTGCGGTTGTCCCCCAGAACAAACACATGGCCTTCAGGAATATGCTAAATAGTTGCCCAAAAACAATTTAGATCTCAGCAGTAACAATAGCCAAAAACCTGTATATAATGTAGTAATATGAGGTGGAAATGGGATTATTACCACTGGTTCCATTTCATAAGCAAGGGGCTCTAGAATGAATTCCTCATCTTCTGGAATGCCATTCACATGCAGTTTCCCACCAAAAACCTATACACCGGAAAAGAATCATGAATATTTACACGCTCAAGGATTAATATAAGTGAATAAGCACTCATAACAGAGATGGAACTTACTTCAACATAGTCACCAGCTGTCGCTACGACCCTTTTTATGAACACTTCTCCCAAACTAAAGCCAAACTCCTACAGAAGAGTGCATTCAAAATGTTACCCTAGTGAAACACGTCCGAACTAATTGGAGGAAGTGCAAAAAACACCTGAAGAATCGAAGGAGCCTTGAAAATCACAATGTCTGAAACTTCGGGCTTCCTAAAAATGTAAGAAACCTGAAATTCCAGGTAGAACAGGATGAGTTTCCACACAACAAAAGCAACCTTATGTTATTGCAATAACATCCCAAATACTGCAACGTAAAACATTCTTTTCATTATTCAGTTACATGATTAATATAAATACATAGTAATAAGCTCAGAGAAAGGTAAATAATGTGAGTTATGATTTGATTCTAGCAGCTAGGTGACATACAGAGTAGCAAACAAGTACTGAAACAGTATACATTTAAATGGCATATAAATATAGCCATTAGCCAACAAGTCATCATCATATATATGCAAGAACAAACTAAGTGAGCAGAGAAAATGTCACAAAACCACAATGCAAAACCAGAACTATCATTTCTGAAACATGACCACTAAAATCTTAACACTGATACAAGAACAAACTAAAACTAAGTGAGCAGAGAAAATGTCACAAAATCACATCACAAAACTAGAACTTTCATAGTTTACTTATGAAACATGATCACTAAAATCTTAACACCGATTCAAGAACAAACTAAAACTAAGCGAGCAGAGAAAATGTCACAAGATCACAATGCAAAACCAGAACTTCCATAGTTTCATTTATGAAACATTATCACTAAAATCTTAACACCGATTCAAGAACAAACAAAAACTAAGTGAGCAGAGAAAATGTCACAAAATCATAATGTAAACCCAGAACAATCATATCTGAAACATGATCACTAAAATTTTAACACTGATCCAAGAACAAATTAAAACTAAGCGAGCAGAGAAAATGTCACAAAATCACAATGCAAAACCAGAACTTTCATCGTTCCATTTCTGAAACATGATCACTAAAATCTTAACACCAATTCAAGAACAAACTATAACTAAGCGAGCAGAGAAAATGTCACAAAATCACAACGCAAAACCAGCACTATCATTTCTGAAACATGATCACAAAAATCTTAACACTTAATCAAGAACTAACATTAGTAGGAAAAACTTGGCAAACTATACCTTCTCTGCCATTATGCGGTCACCCATATTGAGAGTAGGGTACATAGAACTGGAAGAGATAGACTTAGGCTCCGCAAGAGAAGACTTAAACAGTATGCTGACACTCAAAGCTGTGAAGGCAGCCTTTGTATCCTCCGAGCAGGCATTAAGCATCTTCGAGAACCAAGTTGAGGTCCCCTTTGAGAGCATCAAGCCATTGGACAAGATAGCCACGGAGACAGAACCCTCCTTGTTTGATTGAGGAACTGTCACGCCCTTATCCACCTGATGAGCACTGGCAGATGCACCAGCCTCAGACTCTCCACCGGGCAACCATTTTGACACTTCCAGAAAGGGGACGAGCGACGCCCTCCTGAGGGGTGAAACAGCGATCGTATTGGAAACCCCATGAGAAGAGGACTTCAACAACGAACCCAATCCAGCGATCGGGGGAAACGTCGTAGAATTTCCACCGATGAACTCATCAGAAACCCCAGAAAAAGCCGACCTACTTGACAAGTACGGACTAACGGGCTCAGTCCGTCGGAAATCAAAGGTCTTGGAATCCGGGATCTGGAAGAACCTGGAGCGGGTCGAGAGGAATTCATTGAACAATCGGAAGTTTCCTGCCTTGGAGGAAGCCGACGAGGCAAGATTCTGGGTGAGGTGGCCGGTGCAAGCGACGGTGAGCCGGATCGCCATGACCGAGAACTGTAAACAGCTAAATAACAAACAAAAAACAGCAGGTTCGAATAGTAAAGGTTGGGATACCGAACAGATCTCTACAAGAAGCCGAGTTATAACATTTTCAATGAGTGAACCACCATGTTTGGATCCACAACGATAAATTGAAAGGTGAGACCAAACGGTTAGGGATGAAGGCCGCGACGAATCAGATCAAATCGGCTATG